AACTAAATTATTAACTAACTAATTAATTTAATAAATTAACTTCATTATTGACTAAATAATTAAATTATTAATTTTACAAAATTTGCCATTTAAAAATGCATAATAAAAATCACATTATTACACAAAACAAAAAAAATTATTCAAATTAAAAAAAAATCCTTCAAAAAAAAAAAAAAATTTTTTTTTAAATAATTCCAAATATTGAAAACGAATTTTTAATATAATTTCACGCATAAAACTAAAATCGATTTGAAATTGACGTGTAACTATAGAGAAATAAGGGGGGTGAGGGTGGGGGGGGGGGGATCGAGATGAAGGAACACTCGAACACTAAAATATGCAGATTGCAGTTAATTGCTGACTTTGAAATGAATGTGGGAGAGGAAGAGGAGAGAGAAAGAGAGAGAGGAAGGGGGGATGAATGATTGAAGATGAAGTGAAATAATTATATAGAGTTGGAAACACATTTCAAAATGAACAGAATATGAATAAAGTTTCATAATCATCTGCAAACATTGAAATATTGGAGAAACTCTATTAAAATTTATTATAATAACATTTAAATAAATCATGAAACATTTGAATTTAAAAACTAAATTGAATTTTATCGCGAAACATTATTGCGAATTAATCGAAAAAAATTTAGTTTTTGAAACCCATTTCCTTATAGTTTTATAAAATTGAAGCAAAAAAAGTTTTTTAAAAAATTCACAATTGATTAAATGATAGTAAATTCTAAATCAAAAGTCTGTTAAAATTTTAAAAGTTTCGATCACTCAATTTTTTTTGAAAATATATTTAAAAATTTCTATTTACAAGAATTTATTGTAATTATAGATTTTCCTGTTCACTGAATAAACTGTCAGCTGTCAAGCGATTAATTAGTTTTGAAATATCGAAAATAAAATTTTACATTTTGCGCTTCAATTAAAGTCATTCACAAGTTTTTTATTTTTTTTATTTTAAGTCATTTTAAATTCAAACAACAAAAGCGAAATCAATTAAATTATTGGAAACTCATTAAATATTAATTAGCGTTTAATTATTATTTATTAAAATCCCAGGGAACTGTAATGGAAGTTTATTAAATTTAATATTAACTAAATATAATATTAATTACGCTTGCGCTATTTAAATATTAATTAATGGAAAATATTGAAATTTCAGTTTGTTAAATATTAATATTATCATTTATTATCAGTTTGCCACCTTTTTGTCTAATTAAATTATTCAACCATTCATCTCCTGTCAATTATTAATTTTTTAAAAAATTAAATTCCTTTTGAAATTACAAATATTTTATTTATTTATTTAATATTTAAGTATTTAAATTTAAAAAAAAATGGTTGCATCGAAACAATTTTGAAACGTCCCGTGTGGAAATTTTTTCTAAGTTTTATTAATAAAATTAAATTTATAAAATTTCAATTTTTAATGTAAAGTAGTTAAATTTTTTAATATAAATTTGATTAATTATTTTAAAAATGGATTTATTTATTTATTTATTTATTTAAAAATACAAAAATGTATATAAATACATTTATAAAAAATTTTTAGTTAAAAGTACTAAAAAAAAATTAATTTAGGAGAAGTTACAAATGATTGCAGAAATTCAATTATTTTCAAAAGTTATAAAATTCTTCGAAGATATTCAATTATTTTTATAAATATTAAAATTTTTTACAGGAATTCAATTATTTAAAACACAATGTTAAAAAAATCAATTATTTTTAATAATTTTAATAAAAATCGTTGCAAAAATTCAAGTATTTTCGTAAATAATAAAATTCATTGCAGGATTTCAATTATTTTTAATACAATATCAAATGAAATTCTCTTAAAATTGCAATTTTTCTTAAGAACTTTATTAAAATTCTTTAAAAGAATTCAATTATTTAAAATTCAAATCAATTCAATTGTTTAATTATTTTCAAAAGTTAAAAAAAAATTTTTTAGAACAATTTAATTATTTTAAAAATTTTTGATAAAGCTCTTTATAAGAATTCAATTATTCAATAAATTATCTTTTTTGTATTTAAATAATTGAATTCTCAAAAAATTTTCTTCTGAAAATTTACTTAAAAATGAATTTTATTTAAAATTTTAGACAATAATAGTTGAATATTAAAAGCATAAGTTGTAACCACTTAAAAAATTTAATTTTAAGAAAATTACAAATGATTGCCGAAATTCAATTATTTTCAACATTTTCCTCAATACAATAATTTTCAATATTTACTATTTTAATAAATTTTTACAAATAATAGGTAATATTAAATTATTTTAAAATTTTTTATGAATTTCTTCGCAATAATTCAATTATTTTCATGAATAAGAAAACTCGTCACAGAATTTCAATTATTTTTAATACAATTTTAAATAAATTTCTAGAGAAACGTATTTATTCTTAAAAATTTTCATAAATTTTTTTTTGAGAATTCAATTATTTTTAAATTCTCAGAAATTCAATTGTTTTTAAAAAATTTGAATAAAATTCGTTGGAAAAATTCAATTATTTTCATAAATAAGAAAACTGATCACAGAATTTTAATTATTTTTAATAAATTTTTAATAAATTCCTCGAAAAATGCAATTATTCTTAAACATTTTCATAGCATTTTTTTTAAAGAATTCAATTATTTTAAAGTTCTCAGAAATTCAATTATTTTCAAAAATAAGAAAACTCATAACAGAATTTCAACTATTTTTAATACAATTTTAAATGAATTTCTCGAAAAATGGAATTATTCTTCAAAATTGTCATAAAATTTGTTGAAAGAATTCAATTATTTAAAAAAATTTATTAAATTTCGTTGCAACAATTCAATTATCTTTATGAATAATAAAATTCTTCGCTGGATTTCAATTATTATTTTTAATACAATTTCAAATATATTTTTCGAAAAATGCAATTATTCTTAAAAATTTTCATAAAATTTGTCGTAAGAATTCAATTATTTTAAAAAGATTTGTATAAAAATCTTCTAAAAAATTCAATTGTTTAAAAAAAAGTTCTTTGCAAGAATTCAATTATTTTCTTAAACAATACACATTTTAATCAAATTCTTCGAAAAATCAAATTACATATCTTTAAAATTTTTTTCGAAAGAAAATTTAAAACAAATAGAATAAATCAAATTTTTAAATTTATTAATAAAATTTTTTTTGCGAATTTAATTTTAAGAAAAATAATTCAATATATTATATATTTTATTGTATTCAAATAATTTAATTGTTGTAGAATTTTATTTATAAATGAATCTTATTTAAAATTTTAGATAATAATTGAATATTAATAGCATTATTGCGTGAATTTTTAGAAATAATTAAATTTTGAAAATGTTTCAAATTACAGTCTTTGCAAATTTGAATTTTCCAAACTTTTAAACTAACAATTCAGTGGAATTAATTTTTTTTAAAAAGGTTTAATTGGATTTTTTAAAAAAATTATTTGAATTTTCTCTATTTTCTAATATATTTTTAATTGAAGAATTGAAAGAATTAAAATAATTTTAAAGAACTTGCAGTAACAATGTTCTTATAATAAAAAATAATTATTTTATCACTCGGTCATTTTTAATAATTATTATAAAACACGAAGATAGCGATTGCTTCGAGTCGAAGATTCGGAGCAATCGATATTTTTATGTTTTATATTAATATTCTTATATTATTTTGTTATCCTAACAATTCAAATTTTTTCCAATGACAATAAATCTGTTGAGATAGCAAAAAAATTTTGTAACAACAAAAAAAAAATTTTTTAGTTCTATATTAACAATTCTTTTTTCTCAGTGTGATTAAATGCTTATTTAAAAAAAAAACTTTATGTTTTAGAATTTAATAATTTATATCCTTATAGAAAAACTGTTTTTGCAAAAGTAAATTTAATCTCTTTATTGTGAATTATTAAAAGAATTATTAAAAGAATTATTAAAAGAATTATTAAAAGAATCATTAAAAAAGAAAGCGAATAGATTACATTAATTTATGGAAAGACCGTAAATTTATCTGGTCGAGTGCCAATAAAGGAAGAAAAAAGTACACTTCTGCATCCAATAATCCCGAATATGAACCAAATAAAAAAAATTCCATTTGGTAGCTTTTTTGTACTTAAATTCAAATACCCACCCCCCTTCTTCTTTTTTTATTTCTCTTTAAATAAACTTATCTAACAGAGTTAATTCAACAGAAAAGATATCGCATCTCCGAAACTTCTCCTCTCCTCTCTCTCTCTCTCTCTCTCTCTCTCTTCGTATATTTCATTTTCATCCCTTCTCTTTATCGTCGCATTTCCTTCAGCTCTCCCCACTTTCTTTCGTTCTTTCTCTCCTTTTCATTCAGCCCTCTCTCTCTCTCTCTCTCTCTTTTTTTTTTGTACCCTTATCGAGGGAATGGGAAACGTTAACTCAACTAACATTTATATTGCTTCTCGCCAACGAGGAATACATTGTATGGAGGTGTGCTAAAAGCCACAGGAAAATTAAACGAACATTACGCATACGTTTTCATTAGGAGATACGAACGAAGTTTGTCCAACTTTTATCACGAGGCTCGGGCTCACATTTATCTACAGTCCACCCCCCCCCCTCCCCTCACCCTCTTTGCTTCTACTTCTACCTGTACTCTCTCTCTCTCTCTCTCTCTTTCTCTCTAAAACATACGTGAACATATAAACATGTGTATCTACCAAACTCTATACCACCAGAAAAGCAAAACACCGTTTAAATTTATCTTTAAAGAGGCAAAATTTATATAGTTTTTATTTTACCATAAAAAGCATAAATATTAACCATACAGATATGGTAAAAAGAATTATTTATTTGAAACATTTTTTTATTTATTTATTTATTTATAGACGGGACAATTTACAAACTCGTCACAAATGGACTTTTCCCTACAAGAAGACTTAATACTTGTAATAATATAATTATTATAAATTTTGTCAAATTTTTTTTTCATATAAAGTAATAAAATATTAATTTTAACTTTTATTCCAGTCAAAAACGAAATTACACAAGAAGATAAAATCTATCAGAATTGAGAGGATAAAATTCGTCTTTGAAATTTGAGTCCCAATTTCTCAAGTATTAATAGAAGTCTTATTAATCAGTTTTGATAAAGAAATAGGTACTAAATTGTCTGACTAAAATTACTCCTTACTACTGATAAAAAAATGTAAGGAAAGAACTTAAAATTGTCTGACGGAAATTCATTTATACTAAAGAAAAGAATTTCTGATTAATATATTGATTCTTTTTTGTAGGAAATACTATAAAAATAAAAGAATTGACAAATGTCTGACCAAATTTCGAGTTATACTACTGAAAAAAAATATCAATTTGACTTTCGATGTACTGACAGAGAAATAATCAGATCATTATGGATTATCATTCTATGGAAAATAAAAATATACACTAAATACAATAAATAAAAATTAACATCGTCTGACTAGTACTAATTTTTTTACTACTCGAAAATAAAAATAAAAATTAGTCTGACTTGTACTGATTTTCTACTACTGAAAAATAAAAATTTTAAAATAAAAAGAGTCTGACTAGTACTGATTTTGTACTACTGGAAAATAACAAAAATAGTCTAAAAAATAGTTTCAGTCAAAGTAGAACGTCTGACTAATTGAGTCTTATCACTGAAAAATAGAAATTAACACTGTCTGACTAATGCTGACTGTCACTACTGAAAAATAAAATTAATAACATCGTCTGACTAATACTGACCTTTACTACTGAAAAATAAAAATTAACATTGTCTGACTAATGATGACTGTTAATACTGAAAAATAAAAATTAATAACATCGTCTGACTAATACTGATCTTTACTACTGGAAAATAAAAATTAATATTGTCCGACAAATACTTTTACTACTGGAAAATAAAAATTAACTCTGTCTGGCTTATACTGACTTTTACTACTGAAAAATAAAAAAGTCTGACTAGTACTGATTTTGTACTAAAGGAAAATAAAAATTATCTTTGTCTGGCTTATACTGACTTTTACTACTGGAAAATAAAAAAAGTTCTGTACTACTTTAAAATAAAAAACATAGTCTAAAAAATAGTTTCAGTCAAACCAGAACGTCTGACTAATTGAGTCTTATCACTAAAAAATAGAAATTAACATTGTCTGACTAATGCTGACTGTTACTACTGAAAAATAAAAATTAATACCATCGTCTGACTAATATTGGCTTTTACTACTGGAAAATAAAAATTAACAATCTCGTCTGATTTATTTTGAGGTTTGCCACTAACAAATAGAATAAATTAAAAGAAAATAAAACAGGAAAGATAAAAACCAGTCTGACTACTATTGACCTATACTACTGAAAAATAAAAATAAAAAAAGTCTAACTAGTACTGAGTTTTGTCACTAGGGAAAATAATAAAATAACAATGAAAAATAGTAAGTAAATAAAATAAAAACAGTGGTCTGACTAACATTGAGTTTTACTACTTAAAAATAAAAATTAACAACCCCGTCTAATTTTTGGTATTACTAATGAAAAATAAAAATTAACATCTTGTGACAAATAGTGAGTTTTGTCACTGAGATATAAAAAACATTAAAAAATAAAACTTGGAAAAATAAAAAAACAGTCTGACTGACACTGACTTTTACTACTGAAAAATAAAAATTATCAACATCGTCTGACTAGTACTGACTCGTACTACTGAAATACAATATTTAACAACAACGTCTGATTAATACTAAATTTTACTACTGAGAAATAAAAAAAATAGTAACATCGTCTGACTAGAACTAACTTTTTCCACTGAAAAATACAATAAATAACAATAAAAATCAAATTTCAATGGAAAATAATAAATAAACTCACATTGTCTGACTAAAACAGAGTTTTACCACTGATCGGAAATTGTCTGACCCTAAGCAATTCATTCTACTTGGATTAAAATTATAACAATAGGAAAATTTGCCTGACTAAAATTAATATCGCTACTGTCATAAAACTTTACGACTAGCAATGCACTTTACTACTGACATTAAGGAAAGTAAAAAATTGTCTGACGAAAACTGACTTATGCCACTTAAACAAATTTTATTACCCGAACTGTCTTTTACTATTTATACCAAAAGTTTCACTATAGAAGAACGTCTGACTGAAAACTGACTTTTACTACTGATTACGATTTTTATTTTTTACTATCTGGTATTAATTTTGTATTTTTCTACTTTATAGCTTTGAAGAAATTTTTATAGTCTAACTAAAAATGTCCTTTTCTCCTGAAATTTTTTTTATTTTACTTTTCATGTTTAAATTCGAGTAATTTACAGGGTTTACCCAGAAAAAAAATAAAAGTTTCTTCACAAAACTTTTCTTTACTAGTAACATAAAACTGTCTGACTAATACTGACCTTTATCACTAATTTAAAAATTCATTAAATTTCTCGTTATTTTGTCTGGAAAAACACTAATTTCTGGATCAATTTTCAAAAATTCAACAACAGTCGTAAAAATCATTTTTAGTTCGGTAAAAATATTTTACCTGACCTGAATTGACCTAATATTGACCTAAATCGAACTTTTGCTTATCAATTGACCTAAAATTCTGGATCAAAATCTAATTTCGTTTTTTATCTAAATGTCAATATTACAGATGTCTCTTGACCTTTGAATTGTAATCAGAACTTAAAAATTTAGTGAAAATATTTTCATTTTTTAAAAAATAATTTAATACAAAAATTTGCTCTACTTTTGGACCATTGTAATTGTTGACCTAAATTTAAAGGTTATTTCACCTCTGGACCCGTAAAAATACATTTTACGATTCGCTTTTCAAATTCAAAAGTTTGTACTTTTACTGTTTGATAATTATTACTAATTATTATATTTTTTTTACAATTTACTTTGTACTACTAACTATTTAATAATTATTAATAATTATTATATATTTTCACAATTTACTTTTCACATCTAGTATTTAATAATTATTACTAATTATTATATATTTTTACAATTTACTTTTTACTTCTACTATTTAATAATTACTACTAATTATTATATATTTTTACACACAATAAACATAAATCAAAAAATATTTTACGTAAAATCGAAAAACATTTTTTTATCTAAAATCAAAAAACATATTTTATACAAAATCAAAAAAAAAAAAAAAAAAAAACATTTTATACAAAATGAAATACGATTGAAATTTAATTAAAACCGCAATATATTAGTATAATTATAACACTCACATTATATATATATTCGGAATGGCAACACGCGAAATTAGTGAATGAGAAGCAAAAAAAAAAAAAAAAATTTATGGGAAGTGAAATAAATCATTGAAAATAACAAAAACTTTTTTTTCTTTCCTTCTTTCTTTCTTTTCTCTTCTTTTTTTGCCAAATAATTTCGCAGTGATAAATGTATGCATAAATTTTTTCATAAAGATGGAAAATAAACGCCCAGCCGAAACTTTCTACATTGCCGTATATTTCTAGAACTCGTTCGTCTTCGCCTCTGACATATAAATGGCTACTTTGCAATCGAGGTCGTTTGCGTTATTATAGAAGTTATTATTAACCTAAAAATAATCTACATTTTAATCTATAATTACTTTGGAACGCCGGACATACCACCGTCAACATTATTTACCTCTCATAATATTTTCCTAATCTCCAACAGAAAAACCTACTTTTTTCCACATTTTACAAGATTAGGAGCTTATTATTTTTATTATTATTATTATTATTATTATTTTATTATTAATATTATTTTTTTAATTATTATCAATTATTTTATTTTCATTTACTTTTATTTATTTTTATCTAATTCTTTTACTATTTATTTATTATTTTATTATTTTATCATAATTTGCATGTAATTAATTAATTGAAAATTTAATAATTAAATATAAAAATGTCAAAAAATGAAACTGGGAAAATTAGAGAAAATAATTTTTCAAAACTTCCAATTGACAAATCAGTAAATTGACGAGTTAATTTAAAAATATTTCAATTTATTATTTCTCTTATTTCTAAGAATAGAAGAAAATAAATTCAAAAGAAAAAAAAATTAAAAGAAATATAATTTTTCGCTATTTTCATCAAACTAGAGTAAATATCGATACTATAAATGGAGCAGACATACTTGCTTGAAAAAGTAAATTTAAAAATAGACAATATCAAGAGACTTGATGGAAAAATTTCACCCCCTGCTTTGAAGTGATGATATATTATTAGAATTTTATTTTCACCAACTCATATATTTCTTTTAAAAGTTTATTAAAATAAATTTAAAAATAAAAAATTACCAATGTCTGTTTTTATTTAGCTTCAAGAGAAAATTTAACTTTTTTTAATAAATCATTCCTTAATTGTTAATTACCATCTCTCTAAAGATAGTGTTTTTAAAAAAAAATTCAATCAATTTATAATTTTATAATTGAGATATTTTTAAAAAAAGGAGAAAAATAAATCCGAAAACTATTTTTCTTGTAGAATTTAAATATTATAATGAAAATTAATAATAGATATACCTGAGAAAAGAAGGAAATAGAAATAGAAAGAGTAATTTGTCTCGTAGAATTAAGTATTAAAAATTTTAAATTGAAAAAAGTAAAATGGAAATAGATAATAAAACTAAAATAGAAGAAAATGGCTAATAAAATAAAAGGGAATAAAGAAAAGTAATTAAGAAATTAAATAATATGTTAAGAAAAATTATTTATAGAAAAAAAAACTTTTGCTATATTTTTATATCAATATGCATTGTAACTTCTAAGTTTCAATTAAAACTTTTCTCAGTTACTCGAAGTAGCTCCCTAATTAAAATAACCAAGAAAGGTTGTAATGAAACTTTATAATTAATTTCCCTAGTTTCTTATAAGACTTCAACAATTTTACAATTACACTGATAAAGAAATTTACTTCAACTTATAATAGTAATTAAATATTAATATTACTTTTCAGTACATTTATTTCTTTCTCTCAATTTTCCTCAGGTGAAATTTTCCATCTAATTTTATTTTTTATTATATTTTATTTTATATTTAAATATGAAGATTTTCCTTATTATTGTATTTTTAAATTCTTCTTTAAACTACTTTTAATTCTAACAAATTGCAACTAATTAATAATTGGGATTAATTATTCAGTATGGTTAATTATCGCAGACTTCAAACTGGATAATTAATTTTAAAAAAGTAGCAAAAAATATCTTTAAAACTAAAAAAGTAGAATTAAATTTTTTTGAAAATAATTGAATTCCAAAAAACCATTTTATTATTTATGAAAATAATTGAATTCTTGCGAACAATTTTATTAGAATTTTTTAAAATAATTAAAATTTTTAAAAAATGTATTACTTTAAAAAATAATTGAATTCTTGTGATGAATATTGTTATTTATAAAAATAATTGAATTTTGCAAAAAATTTTAGCCTCAAAATAATTGAATTTTTGGGAATAATTTTATTATTTATCTTTAATAATAACTGAATTCTTTGGAGGAATTATTTATGTAAATAATTGAATTAATTGAAATAATTGAAGAATTTTATTAAAATTTAAAAGAATAATTGAATTATTTCAACAAAAAATTTTATTAAAATTGGATTTAAAATAATTGATTTCTTTCGAACAACTTTATTACAATATTTGAAAATAATTGAATTCCTGTGTAAAATTCTAATATTTTTGTAAATAATTGAATTCTTCCAAAGAATTAAAAAAAACATTCTTTTAAATAATTGATTTTTTCGAGGAATTGAAATTAAATTTTTAAGAAGAATTACATTTTTTGAGCAATTCCTGTAAAATTGTATTAAAAATAATTGAAATCTTGAGATGAATTTTATGATTTATGAAAATAATTGAATAGTTACTAAGAATTTTTTAAACATTGTTTTAAATAATTAATTTTTTCGATAATTTAAAAATATTTAAATTTTGTACTTCTGTTTTTTCTAAAAATAGAAGGAAAAAAAAATTTGTAAAAAAATTTATTAAAATGCCTCAAAATAATTGAATTTTTGGGAATAGTTTTGTTATTTATCGACAAAATTGAGTTCTTGCGAAGATTTATTTATGTAAATAATTGAATTCTAAGAAAGAAATTTATTAAAATCTAAAAAATAATTGAATTATTTAAAAAAAAATTAATTAAAATTGTATTTAAAATAATTGATTTCTTATTTTCTATCGAACAAGTTTATTAAAATATTTGAACATAATTGAATTCCTATGAAAAATTTTAATATTTTTTTAAGTAATTGAATTCTTGCAAAGAATTTTAAAAATCCGTATATTCTTTTAAATAATTGATTTTTTTTGAGGAATAGAAACTAAATTTTTAAGAATAATTACATTTTTTGAGCAATTCCTGTAAAATTTTTATTAAAAATAATTGAAAATCTACAATGAATTTTATGATTTATGAAAATAATGGAATTCTTGCGGATAATTTTATAAAAATTTTCTGAAAATTGTGTTTTAAATAATTTTTAAAAATATTTGAATTCCTGTAAAAATTTTATTATTTATGAAAAGAATTAAATTCCTAAGAAGAATTTTATTATTTTTAAAAATAATGGAATTCCTGAGAAAATAATATTATTTTTAAATATAATTGAATTGTCGCGAAGAATTTTATAAAATTCTTTTTAAATTATTCATTTTTTTCGAAAAATTTTATAAAAATAATTGTGTTCCAAATAATTGAATTCCTGTAAAAATTTCAATTATTTTTATAAAAATAATTGAATGCTTGCATAGAACGTCATATTTCTTTTAAATAATTGCATTCTTTTCGGAAAATTTGTTATTAAAATAGTCGATATTAAAAATAATTGAATTTCGAAAATGTTATAAAAATAATTGAATCATTTGAAAGAATTTTATTAAAATTTGTTGAATTGTTTCTAACAATTTTATTAAAATTTTTGAGAATAATATTTTTATTCTAACTATTAGGGAATTTTAAGTTTTAAAGTTTAAAAAAGTTGTTTTTTGTGCCACAAATCTAAAAGAAGTATCGAAATAGTAAATAGTAGAATTTTAAATAAATGAAAGTAGTAAATAGCAGATGTGTACAAAGCCTGAAAAGATGAAAACTATATTTTTGCAAAAAGTTCACGATTTATAAAAGTCAAAAGCCGGAAAATTTATTTCTAAATTCACAAGTGAAAGAACAAAAAAAAATGTATTATTTTTTAAAATATTTGAATTCTTTATAAGTAGAATTTTATAAACATTGTTTTAAATAATTGAATTCTTGTGAAAAACTTTATTTATGAAAATAATTGAATTTTTCAATTAATTAATTTAAAATAGTATTAAAAATATAGTTGAAATTCTTCGATGAGTTTTATTATTGATGAAAAATAATTGAATTTTTGAATTAA